GAAAATTGTAGTGGATGGAAACCTTCTCTGCGCCTTCTACCTTCCACATGACCCCATTCTCCCTGTTTGCTTGGCTTCCCTAAAGATACGTAGTGCTCTCTAACACACAAGACAGCATGACGTCCCCTGCCCAGTTTCTGGCCTTTAAGCTCTCGCTGCCATCTAATGACGGGAGTCCGGAGCGTCTGTTCAGCTGCGACGAGGACATTGAACGGCGCTATGAGGTGGTCCCGTCTGTCGTCTGCTCCATGTGCTGCCTGTTTGGCATCATCTACTGCTTCTTCGGTAGGTCTCAAAGGATGAATGAATGGAATGATACTGCCCAGCAAGCATGTTCTTGTGTTTAAAAGACGTCTGTAACACTTTACTTGAAGAGGGTGTTCATGGAAATGACATACCTGCTTACCGTATTTCACACCCATCTCCCACCACCGTCCCATCTTTTGATTTCTCCTGGGAAACTCCTGTAATTTGTATGGCACAATCTAATTAGGAAAAATCGCATTTTGTCCACGTTTGTCAAGTTGCCAGATCATGTATGAAGCTCATCACACAATTGACGATATAGTGAAATCTCAAAGCATCTATTACCTCAGTCTGGCAACATAGGTTACAACACAGTTGTGCTGTTGATTTCTTTGCAGGTGGTAGTTGTGGGACTTGAACATGGCGGTAGCAACTTAAGAAGTAGCCATAAATATGAATAAGATTTTATGCATGCTTATGACATTGTGCATGTCTTAATGGCTTACATAAACATATCATAACCTACGTCATGACAATTTGCCGTTTTAAAGACAACAAAACATGTTACTGTCTTTGACGTGACCATAGATATATGCACTAGATATCGCCTTTGGACCCTGAGCATGCACTAATAGCGCCGCCACATTTGTACAGTGCTCACTGGATAAATGTCATTCAACCGTACTCAGTCAAGATTAAAGCCAGTCTGAAGATGCTGGACTTTTGCGCTGTGTACGGATGTATTAATGTGTAAACAAAGAACATGTTATAGGTAAGATTTCATTTTTTACGTTTTTGTATGTTACGAACTTTTATGCTAAACTAGTAACGTTATTGATAATAATACAGTCTCTTACGCCCCATTCACACAGGGCTTCAGCGTCAACGCTTGACTGAAGGCGTGTCTGAAGTTGGGGCTACCGTGATTGTCATAGCAGTGTCAGTCAAGGAAATTCAGGCAGCAATAGGCCACTGTCTAGCTGGTGTATTTGCATACAGTGATCTGATTGGCTGACGCTTCCGTCAGCGCTTGAAAAGTTAAGCTAGTCCCAACTTCTGCAGCAAGCAACGCCTCTGAAGCGGCACTGACGGATTCACAATGAAGTTCGGCAAAGCCTGACGTCACCTATTCAAAGTCAATGGGAAGCATTGACACTGATGCCCCGTGTGAATGGGGCGTTACTGCCCTGACCATAAGGCAAAGTAGCACCAACTCGCATTAAATACCAGTCTTATGCTAGTTTTGTTGAATAAAATAAGCAAACAGTGCAAATGAAATATGACAACAAGATGCTGCGGTGCCAGAAACTTGTATTATTGTCGGTTAAGTAAACGAGTCGTTCGTAATAGGGATTTATTCACAAATGAATTGCTCCCTACGTTAGAATGAGAAGCGAAAGCAGTAGAGGGGATGTGTTTCAGGATACGAATTAGATCAAATTTAACAGGTATGGAGGATAATACATTTCCATGAACACAAACACACGCTCTTTGTCGGCAATGCCCGTGCGGTCACTCATCCATCGATGTAGAAAAGTTATGTATATTTGAAATTTTTGTAATTTAAACAAATATTTGCATACTGACCTCCGGAAAAAATCCCGATCATAGAAATATATGTGTATATGTCTCTGGTTCTGGATGGCCAGTCCTCAACTGCACCTTGGTTCCACATTCATTTCAAAGGAGTGCTACCCTGTACTAAAATCTGTGTCATGACAACTTGACATTACCAGATCAGTTTACATTGTCATAAATCTGTCATAAGTGAAGTTTCTTAAACTAATTTCGAGAGGAGCATGTGATAGGATTGACCACAGCTGATCTCTATCACTAATCACTAACTAGCCAATCGGATCACTCTAAATTCAATATAAATATCCAGCATAAACTTCATTCCTTATCTTCGTTTTGGAACCCCCTCTTCCTCAATTCTAAGTTCAGGCGACTGTTGCCCCACAGCAAGGAGGTCGTTGGTTCAAACACTAGCTGAGCCAACCGACACTCTCTGTGCGGAGTTTGCATGTTCTCCTCATGTTCGCGTGGGTTTTCCCCAGATGCTCAGGTTTCCTCCCACAGTCAAAAAACAATGCAAAAAAAAGTTAAAGTCACAAGCACTTACTACAAACTAGCACAGTTAGCGGTCTATTCTTGAGAAGTTATCGAGAACTACCTGATCTCATATCCCTCCTAATGCTTATTGACCAGGCGGGAGCCGTGGGCTCATCTGTCTCCAAGCTCAGGGTTCTCTCCCGGCACAGCATGCCAAACCTGCTTAAATAGTCAAGCATTATCAAATTCAGCAAATTTTATAACAGCTTCATATATATTTTTATTGACCTCTACAGTGGTAAATTTTGGATACAATATCATTAAATGTCTTTAAATATTAATTAGGCTGTTATAAAATTAGCTGGCAGAGTGATTTTTAATGACAAATTCACTTTGATTCACTGAAAAAAAAGATCAGAAAATTCATCACATAATTATAATGTTCTCATGTTTATGACAGATTTATGACAAGTCATGTTGTCTTTTTTTAAAGTCAAGTTGTCACAGCAAAAAAAGACATCTCAAACAATGTCTTTACATATAAAATGACATAACTGAGCGAATGACATGCGGCACAGTGGGTAGTGCTGTCACCTCACAGCAAGAAGGTCGCAGGTTCGAGCCTAAGGTGGGTCATCTGACATTTCTGTGAGTTTGCATGTTCTCCCCGTGTTCACGTGGGTTTGCTCTGGGTGCTCCGGTTTCCCCCACAGTCCAAAGACATGCACCACAGGTGAATTGGGTTGGCTAAATTGTCCGTAGTGTAAGTGTGTGGCGGTTTCCCAGTGATGGGTTGCAGCTGGAAGGAGATCCGCTGCATAAAGCATATGCCGGATAAGTTGGAAGTTCATTCCGCTGGGGCGACCCCGGATTAATAAAGGAACTAAGCCGAAAAGAAAATGAATACTTATTGAGAGTTGTCATAAGCATGCATAGATTATCTTAAACATGGCATGATTATAAAGGTAAAGTTCACTTCAGGTAAAGTGTTACAAAGGTCTCTTATAGATGTCTAAAATAAATTTTGAAAAATTAAAAAAAAAAAACCTAGCAGTAGTCTAAATAACAGTAGTACAAAAACGGAACGTCTAATAAACACAAGTAGACTAATCACCAAATACACAGAAATAAATGCAATTTAGTCTTGTATTAGCCAAGAGGTCAGACACAGAATTGTTTGGTGGGAGCAGATTGGTCTGGTTTGGTAAAACATAAGCAGTGTTACTCAGAATGAGCCCAGATTTTGGCATGAATATGTTTTTGTCTTGTCACCACTATCATCGATTCAGCTATGGTTGTTACGGCCAAATTTAATTCACTTTATAACCAGCTGAATGTGACAACCAGACAAGGGTGACAAATCTATGTCCCTCTCTATTAGATAAGCTTTATCACTTTCACTTGACTGTGAAATTTGCTTTCACTGCCTATTACTTGCTAGAAGAGGGAGAGAGAGAGAAACAGATAGAGAGGGAGAGAGAGAGTTTCTCAGCTGTGACCAACAGCAGAATATTGAGTCTCCTCTGTCTGTGCCACTCTGGCCCCAGTGTGGCCATGTTAAAAACGTTGTTTATCCTTCCTCACCTTCTGCTGTCAATTTGGGCCATTATTAACAAGTCTAAATTGCATCAGTTGAAAGCAGATAACCTCTTAGCGAGAAGCACAATGCATTATGAAAGGCTTCTGACGATTTTAAAGGTATTTATGTACTGTAACTGTAGCAACAGAATGAACATTAATGGCTCAGAGAGCCAAATGCTTTCACTCAATGCAACTCTCCTGATCTCGCTTATGTGTTTTCAAACAAAATGTTTATCCCCATGATTTCACGTCGAGCCATTTCTGAAATAATTTGTTTCATTCTTAAAAAAATATCCCAGGAAGAGAAAAAAATGATCTCTCATCGCATTGAATATACGCTACTGTTGAATATACGCTACATATCTAGATCTAGATTCAAGATGAGGGATACATTTTTTTATTCCCTCATTTGAAGTGTATATTTATTTATTATATCGTATATTTGTATATTTATTATATTATATTGTATATTATTTATTTTTGTAGCCGTTTAAATGGGCTACGTTATTTATTTTTTATCTGTTTTTTCTATCGATTTCAAGTCATTACATTAAGTCACATTACATTAATGAGCAAATGCATTATACATGTTGGTTTACGTGCGGGAACTCCCCACCAAGCAATTTTTTAATACAATTAAAAGAAATACAAGAAATACAATCAACTTCAATTTTGACTCTAGCTTAAACTCTGAGATTAGGGGCCCTATCATACAACTGGCGCAAGGCGCGGCGCAATATTCTTTTGCTACTTTTAGCTCGGCGCAAGGGTCATTTTGAGGTGTTGCGCCACACTGTTTAAATAGCAAATGCATTTGCGCTCAAATGTGCGCCCATAGGCGTTGTGGTCTAAAAAAGCAGGCGTGTTTTGGCGCGTTGCTATTTTGAGAAACTGTAAATAGTCTGATCTTTAGACCAGAACAAAGTCGGTCTATTGTCTTGCGCAAAGTGCGCCTGGCTTATACACTACAAACAAGATGCAGAGGAATACGCAAATAGCTTTACATATAAAAAATATATAATACCTTAAGTATATTAAGAATATATACAGGATATAAATATAAATGAAATATTACAAAACATATTAATTTCTAGCCTACATTATTATATCCATATTTATATTTATATTTGTTTTATTAAAAACAAGCTTAGATTTGTCCACCTGTCAGGTTTTAGACCATATGGGGCATGGCAGGTGTATTTGGAAATAACTCAGTATTTTGACCACACTTGGTCATTATTGTTCATTTATTTGTTTGCTAGAAATTAGAACTGAATTTAGAAATAGTTTTGAAACAAATCTTTGTGCTTAACAAACAAAATTAATTATTTATGGGCTAATTGATGTCTGTGCGTAAAGGTTTCCCTATCCACGAGAGCAAAAGCGAAAGTGGACTTACGTTACGTCAAAATGCGCTTATGGCGCAACGCAGCTGGCTCTTAAAGGGAATGGGAGATGAGACTCTGATTGGTTTATTCTCAAGACACACCTATAACTCATTAAGAAAGTAAACTCAACCCTTTTAGACCATGCACCAAGGCACAAAGCGGATTTTCCCGTCCTTAAATTAGCAAAAATGCGTTCTGACACGCCCTGAAAGCGTTTGCGCCCTGCGTTTTGCGCTCTGCGCATGGACCGTCAAAATAGAGCCCAAGGAGCGAGCATATACTCTTTCGGGGCTCAAAAACTCTGCGGTAGTGTGGACAGAAGGCATAACCATAGCAAAAACTTATTTTAAACAACGAAATAGAGTGTGAACAGTCCTAAAATATACAGTTTGTTTATTGCTTTGAAAACGTCATATTCTCTTCAAAACTATTAACTTTTTTTTTTACATTTTCCCTACCTTCTCCACCTCTCTTCTCTTGTAGGGTACCGTTGCTTTAAGGCTGTAATGTTCCTCACGGGTCTGATGTTTGGCTCCATCATCATCTTCATGCTCTGCTATAAGGAGCGGGTCATGGATACTCAGCTAAGTGTGGAGGCCAGTGTGGGCATCGGCCTGGGAATTGGCACATTGTGCGGTCTAGTCACAATGCTAGTCCGCAGCGTGGGGCTTTTTATGGTTGGACTTCTTCTGGGTTTGCTAGTGGCCCTGGCCTCTCTGGTGGTTCTGGAGGAGTTTTACCACCCGAGGACAGTGTGGCTTCCCCTGGGCGTGCTGCTGGGCTCGGGCATGCTGTTTGCGGTGCTCACTCTACAGTGGCAGCGCTGTTTCACCACCATCTCCACCGCCGTCTTTGGATCCGCCGTGGTGACTGTGACTGTGGATTATTTCGTGGAGCTCTTTGCTCTGACCCGCTACATCTACGAGAGGGTGAAGGTGGATCCACCTCGACAAGTATGTTGGTTCACATGGGTGGTCATGGGAGTTTGGCCTGTGCTGGCGCTGCTGGGTGTTCTTATTCAGTGGAAGGTCACGGCTGAAGGATATTCTCACACTGAAGGTAAGTTTCACAAGAATGTGTCAGTTATGCAACCGAAGGTCATTTGAGATACAGTACGTGCCCAGGGCTACATTTTTGGGAACTTTGAAATACATGGCTGAGATTTTTGATGATCTCAAATACATTATTGGGCCACATTTTATCATATGTGCCATTTGCTTGTCCTTCTTGTAAATCCATCAGATTTACAAAGCAAACTGAACAAGCCGGAAAAGTTGTCCATATGGGATTTATCGGTAAGTGCAAAAGAAACGGTTGTTCTTGGCAGGGGCGCGGGTAGAGAGTGTCGGGACATATCTCTGGGGCTCCAAAACAGCATGAGGCATTAGAAGAAGGTTATCGGTCAGTAGTAGTGCGAAAAGCAACAGTAGTAGTTGGCAGGGGTGCCACTGACTGGTATGGGTCCTGTGACAGCATTTTGAAGATGTCGGGGCATATCTCTGGGGCTCCAAAACAGCGTGCGGCCTTAAGCCTCCTTTCCACTGCACGTGACAAATGACAAGCGACAGACCGGAAGTCATACATTTCCAATGGAGAGTAGTCCGGGAGCTGCGGGCAGTTCCGATCATCTTCATATGCGGAAAATTCAGATCTAATTTGAGCTGTGGATCCGTTGAAATATTTGAACTCTTGCGTCTAGACCATATGCGACCGGCCGGCCGGATGTGATGTATTCCAGTGTTGTACAAGCAGGTCCGTGCACGAGAGATGAGAAATACTAGTTTTTTTGGTTATTTTTTTGAATCAGAGAAAGTCTATATCAAAAAATACATATCTGTTCATAAATGTAAGTATTAAAAATATGTTTTATGTTGTTTCCACATCCACCCAATATGTTAGCGGTCTATGAGTTTCTAGTATTCATTCAACCATGGTAAACAGACGGAGAATAAAGGCTCTTGTTTTTGTACTCCTTTATTTCGGACAATGTCAGAACAGCTTCTCTCCCATGGTGCTCGTCAGAACTGAAAATTCTGTGCGACTGCCACAAGGGGGCGTATTCCGATAGTCGTGCCCAAATGTCGTTTGTAGTTGAAAGGCGGCTTCAGATGGAGGTCATCCGTCGGTAGTAGTGTGAAAAGGAACTGTAGTTGTTGTCAGGGGCGTCGCCGGCCATTATGGGCCCTAAGAGAACATTTCAAGGGTGTCGGGGCGTATCTTGAGGCACCAAAACAACGTGTCCCCCATATTTACAGTTTCTGAAAAATGTAGCCCTGGGTCTGTACCCACAATGTGTCTCATTTCCAACTTACTATTATGGTCCATTTCCAACGAGCAGTACAGTTCAGTACAGTACAGTAGTGTTTGCATTTTTTTTCCATTTCTATCGTCAAAGTTAGCAAAACAGCGAACCGTACCATACCACTAGCCCAACAGTATGGTACCAAGAGGGTGGAGCTAGTATCATTGCTGAATTCTATTGGTTTACAGAGAATCATCACTGCTAGATGCAGCAACACAAGGAAATGACAACATAGGAAGCACCATTTTTAAAAATTAACAAAACACAACCCAGCAATATTGCACTGATAGTGCACAGCATTTAAAGAGCCCCTTTTTTGTAATGGGTTGTAAATGGTCATATTTAGGTTTTGGGGGTCTCCAGCTACAGGCTGATGTGCTATGCATGCAAGGTCAAAAAACACTTTCGTTGTCTAATAATATACATTTAATTATTGCATCTAATTATGCCAACGACTCTCATATGATTTGTTCAGTGATTCATTTGTTCGCAAACCCCTCCTTTGCATGAGGCTAATCTGCGGTGATTGGTTCAATTACCCATTCTGTTGTGATTGGTTGACTGGGTTCAGGGCGAGACAAAGAGAAACGCCCAACATGGGTATGTATTAGCAGAGAGTGTGTGAAATCCCAATGCAGAAAATGCAATAAAGCTAAGCAGATAAACACCAGCATATCACTCTAATCTTAACCCTAACCCCAGGTAATAACAGCGAAACACATTCAGTATTAATCCACACAGTGGCAAAAGTTAAACTATTTTTAAAATTGATCACGCTGCGTGTGTGTAGGAACAGTTAATGGTGGCCATAGCAAAGACAAAGGACAGAGGATCACGAGTTCAAATGCATTTAAATCAGTAAAGGAAGAAGCAATATGGAACAAAATCAATGCCAAAAGTATTGAATTAAAAAGCTTGTTGAATAGCACAAACTGAAAAAAATAACACACCGAATTAACAAGTTCTTTTATTTTAATGACTTGAATTCCAGGTTTTGTATGTTTAGGTCCTGAAGTTTAACATGATTATAATTTTCAATTATTCATATTCAATTTCCAGATTTCACTTACAAAATATTCAATACCCATTAAAAATACGATGTATAATATTCAAAAGGCAATTTCCAGTTCATTTTATTTCAGTTCAAATATTCGCTTCCATAAATTCAGTGGTTCAAATTCGACTGTTAAAACTCGACATTACATCCAGGAACTGCTGGAAAAGCAATATTTTGCAGATTGAAGATCACCCGCTGCTTTTTCACCGGCAGATGGAGATGGAATAATTTAAGATTTTTAACCCAGTAAAGAGACGAGAAAAAAGCTTATGAAGGCACAAAGTAGCATTTAATATAAATATCAATGTCTTGGACATTATAAGTAATAAAATGCCACTTGCCTTACTTATAATGTCCAAGAAATTGATATTAATATTAAATGCTACTTTGTGCCTTCATTAGCTTTTTCAATTATTCCATCTCCACCTGCTGGTGAAAAAGCATCTTCAATCTGCAATCTATTGCTTTTCCTGCAGTTCCCGGATGTAATGTCAAATCTTAACAGTCAAATTTGAACCACTGAATTTATGGAAGCGAATATTTGATTTATTAACTGAAATAAAATGAACTGGAAATTGCCTTTTGAATATTATACCTCGTATTTTTAACGGGTATTGAATATTTTGTAAGTGAAATCTGGAAATTGAATATGAATAATTGAATTTATAAGTATGAAAACGTGTTTGAAATATTTTCAGTTGAAATATTCACAGTTTAAATAAACAGCTATGTTAAACGTCAGGACCTAAACATACAAAACCTGGAATTCAAGTCATTAAAATGCAAGAACTTGTTAATTCGGTGTGTTATTTGTTATCAGTTTGTGCTATTCAACAAGCTTTTTAATTCAATACTTTTGGCATTGATTTCGTTCCATAGAAGCACGCGTCGCATTTTCAATGTGGTTTTAAACACAATATGTGAACAACTTGATGAAGGTTTAACCTGAGAGATACAGTACAAGCAACGACCTATAATAGATAAGTGATAACAAGGTGCGCAGAGTGATTACAGCTTACAACAAACAATTAAGCACATAAATTTTAAACTACGCAAAATGAGGCAACAATTTTAATCAGACTTACATGTTATTATCTGGAGGAAGAAGAAACTGGTCCATATAAACTGTAACTGTTACTGACAAAGTCCCATATATAATAATCTCTGTTGCTCCTTCAATAGCAAACGGCCGGCAAATCCTGCGTTGCAGTGTAGTTTATTGTTTCAAAAATCAGAGAAATGACAGGAACAAACACAGCACAGGGTTGGCTATACTGTAGTGTTGTTGTGAAAATGAACTTTAACTCTTTATTCCTGTCAGTGATCGTCATTTTCATGTCATGATCAGTCCTGTGATCCTCAGCGCTCCGTTAGTGTCTGAAGGGAAAGGCGTGTTCACATTTTATCGGATCTAGAACTACATATTTGGTGATGTACCGGTCCATATCACGGTTAATGCATTCAAGCAAAAGACCTGAATCCAACTCAATTTAATCATTCTACTTTGAGTCGACTATTTTGTTAAAGAATCGATTGTTTTAAACACGGTGCACTTTCAGCTTTAAACCTCAGCTGGATGTTTTTGTTCACTTAGAGCTGTGTTACAATGCACGGAAGCTCATTTTCAAAAAACCATTATAGGGGCTCTTTAAAGATAAAACATGTGGAAAGTTTACTGTTTATATTTTAAATAATATACTTGAGTTCTTAAAATATGTGATGTATGAACCAGTGAGAATGAAATTTATAGCAATTTTCTGGCATACACCTTGCCTACCAAGTAAAGGTACTATTGGTAGTGGAAATGCAAGCCTGATCAGGGTGACCTTTACCAAAAAGTACTGTAATGTGCTGAACTGAAATGCACCGCTCAGGAGAAGCAAAGCATTATAGTAAAAGAGGCAAAACTGTGGCTAAAACATAGTATACTTCCCTTGTTCACGTTCCACTTGGGCTTGTGGATAGTCTGTATGACACAATTCACATCATCAGATCATCTACACACCATCTGGGTAAACGACAGCACATGAGAAAATTGAGCCATCAAAAATGTAGGGTTTGCATACATGCCAAACGGCTCAGTTCACAATCAGTCGCCAACTGAATATATTTTTCATGGCTTGAGCACTGACTTTGTGCATGATGGAGCAGGACACAGATAATGAAGTACATCAGGACCTTCCATGTGATGCAGGGGTGTCCAGTCCTGCTAGGTCAGCCTTCTACAGTGTTTATGCTCTAACCCACTCAAACACACTTATATGGACGGTTCAATTAATTTGCCTAATATAGCGCACTATTTTAGAGGACAGATTAATTCAGATTCACATTAGATTATTTTCATCCTACCATTCTTTGAGACAATAGAGTATGCAGATCTGGCTGTGATATAATAGAGTATATAGGTCACACTGATGTTAGACTATAATCAATTTTCCTAGCATTACACATTGACATTATAGTAGAGAACAGCTTATTATAAGAGCTTTATAAGAGCATTATAAGTGAGCTTTGTTGGTTCCATGTGTTTTAGAACAGAAGAAAGGATCTCAGAAACAAGCATAAATGTCACATTTTTTGTACATTGTACCAAAAAAGATCCCAAATTCTTACATATGTATAATCTGATATAAAGTCTCTTTAAGAGGACATCGCTCCATGTGTTTTTGGAAACAAGGTTACTTCCTTAAATTTTCTTCTTGGTGTATTTATAGAGATATTTATGGATAGTTTCTTTTTTATGACTATCCTACTTAATTACTTGCTGTGGAGATCAGCTGTGTCTACCTCTCACAGTCTCTCTAATGGCCCGTTTCCTGAGACGTTAGGGTTGGTACGGGTCACCTTCATCAGGCTTGCGTTTCCACTGCCAAAAGGGTACCAATAGTACACACAGCATATATTTAGCTCTTATTTGGGTTCAAAAACAACACCCACCATATAGCCCAGGGTCAGTGCAAACCTCTCATCTGTATCATTCAAAGAGTTACCGCTTAGCTGATGATTGATTATAAAGTGAGTTTGGCATGCTGTCCTAGGAGAGAGCCCTGAGCTCATAAGATCCTTGAGGTCTCGAGATCTCCCCATATTATTTAGAGCTGATGACAGATTTTAAATTGCTATATAGAGATACTGCTGGTTAAGAGCTCAACTATAACCTGCTGAAAAATCCAGCTTGAACCAGCCTAGGCTGGTTGGCTGGTTTTACCTGGTCGACCACCCTGGGTTTAGAGGGGTTTTGGCCATTTCCAGGCTAGTTTCCAGCCATTTCCAGCCTGGTCTTAGCTGGTCAGGCTGGAAAGTGAACAGCTTAAACCATCTAAAACCAGCTTGACCAACCTGGTTTAAGCTGGACATAGCTGGTTTTGGCTGGACTCCCAGCTTGGCTGGGCTGGTTAACCTGGTTTTAGCTGGTCATCTCCCAGCTTGACCAGCTTAGACCAGGCTGGAAATGGCTGGAAACCAGCCTGGAAGGGGCCAAAACTCATCTAAAACCAGGCTGGTCGACCAGCTAAAACCAGCCAACCAGCCTAGGCTGGTTTAAGCTGGATTTTTCAGCAGGGTAGTGCTAACTTAGATTGATCTATTTACTTATGACACATGTTTTTGGACTGTGGGAGGAAACCAGAGATGCCAGGGAAAACCCAAGCAAGCACGGGGAGGACATGTTAACTCCGCACAGAAATGACTACTAGCCTGTTAAGAATTTGAACCAGTGACAATCTTGCTGTGAAGCGACAGTGCTAACCACTGGGCCACTGTGCTGCCATATAAAGGGAAAGGTGGATGAGTAGGGGTGGAAGGGAGAACTCTTTAAGATAACTAAAGAAAGAAACTCTGGTTATTTAAAGTGAGTTAGGAATCATCTGATTGGTGAATCATGTGTTAGTTAATGCGGAACCAGCTGCGATCAATCAAAAGCATGTGCTCCGCTCAACATTATTTCATGAGTAATATTGATTTCGAGTTTATAGTCCAAAATGTGATGATGATAATAGTTAAATATGGTAGTTTGTTCATGTTTTAGGTTGTTGAAAGAATCATCTGCTCCTTTGTTTTTCTGGTTTCTCCTTTGTTTTTTCGTTCTTCACTCATCTTCTCGCATTTGTCAGTTTCTTATAGGATCGGATGTCAGAAGCACTTCAATAATCACACACGCAATATGATCATTAGCTAAAGAAATATTTCGTGTATAGACAGACGTTCACGCAAGATCTCTCGAGAAAGTGAAACCGTTTGCGCTTAGATGGCCTTGTAAACAACAACAGGGCAAATGGCATATTTTGCTCTTCTTATTTATATATTGTTATGGTGTTTTCATTCACTTGGCTTGTGCATGAACTAGAAACGTATCTCTGTAAACCAATAGCGTTCAGCTGCGCATCTTGCTACAACTTTTTGGTATCCTTTTGTTGTGCAAGGTACCCTTTCAAAAGGGTACCCTTTCAAAAGGGTACCCAAAAAATGGTATGCTATGGTTTGCTTTTTAAGTACCCTTTGACAGTGAAAACGGCCTTATAAGTGTACTGTATCTTACCACTCAGTGGAAACAGGCCATAAGTGACTCAATGGGAAAGCATGACCTGAAATCCATGAATAGGGACTTTTAAACCACTTGAACACTTTCTAGTACAGAGCAACCACCTACATCCTTAGCAATGTCAAGAGTATTCAGGAAATATCTAAAGGTAGAAATCACACCGTCTATGGCCAATACAGAATTGTGGGTATAAATTTCCAGACGTCTCAAGAACCTTTCTCTTTTAAATATATGCATGAATACACTACTTTTCCTTGTCAAGCGCAAGGCTAAACAAACCGTTACACTGAGATAAAGCATTAAAATGCCCACTGGGAGAACAGACAGTGTGAACTGCGCTGGGGGTGGTTGCCATGGCGACAAGCTGGGCCCTTGTTTGGCGGGATGGGGGAGGGCGCTGCCATGAGGAAGGGGCAGAAGAATAGAGGCGAGAGTGGGAGGAGTGTTTTCTGAGGGGGAGAGCGACAGAGAAAGACCATTACACGAATTCCCTGACAGATGGGCCACGGAGCTGTTGAGGCACAACACAGCGACTGAATGGGCAGAAATAATCCGTCTGTTTTTAATAATGACAGAACAGAATGTCGATTTAGCCCTGTGCAGAGCCGAATGTGTCAAAACACTCAACGGTTTGTTTATCAGCTTGGCTCTGGACCACTGATGGCGAATCGCAGCCAATACACATAACAGTGCCTTTACAGCACAGAATAACGGCTCTGTTTTTGACCTGATGTGCTGCTGAAGCCATATCAGAGCTATATCTCCCAATCCTATCTGTCTTTATCGATTCCTTCCTTTTCTAGTCTTCATCAATCACCAGCAGAGACGAGTGCAGCTAATGCGAATCCGTCAAAAAGAGGAGCGCAGGGAATGCCGAAAGAAAAAGAAGAAAAAGCCACAGAAACAGCCGCCACAGCAACAGCAACAGAAGTACCACCACCCCCCTCAGACCAATCCTCACCCCCCAAATCCTCCACCAAAAGTCCAGCATCCCGAGCCAACCCACCGCCGGAAGCCCAACACCATCCGCCGCTTCGATGGAGATGTACTTTCTCCGGTAACTATATTCCTCTTTCTCATCACGAATCCACCTGTCAGTCATCTTAAAGGAGCACTCCTCTTGTTTTGGAAATAGGCACATTTTACAACTTCCAAAGAGTTAAACAGTTAAGTTTGACCATTTTTTTATCCGTTCAGACGATATACAGGTCTAGCAGGAGCGCTTTTAGCTTAGCAATCATGGAATTGACCATTCCATTAGCATCTTGCTCAAAAAAATCTTCTATATTTACATAAAACTATTCTTCTATAGTTACATCGCATAAGAACATTTACTTTTCTTAATTTTTATTTCATTTCAGTATACAATGAAGCTACAGAAAAGTTAAGCTTTAAATTGGAAAAGGCTCAAAACTCTTTTTCGAAAACTTTCTGCAAGATTTGTTGAAATTAGGGATGCTTCGATCAGGATTTTTGCAGCCGATACCAAGTACCGATTCCTTGTCATTGTAATCGGCCGATACCAAGTACCAATTCTGATTCTTCAAAAGTTATATAACCATACTTTTTCCTTCCTAGTGTGATACTTAAGTGGAGCTTTTTCCGTACCTAGGAGAATAAATTAAGGATGTTGCATATAATCCCTTAATAAATCTATTATAACAATTTATTGTGGACATGTCATGGTTAGAAGCAGCTTTAAAGAAAATAGTGAACAAAACAGATTAAAAAGATTGCAGCGCTGCTGATGTGAAACCTGGGTGCACATGTGCATCTTCCTCTACTTGTGAACTCCTAAGCCATCACACTTATGATTGGTTCATAAAATCCACCAGGGGTGTGTTTCATAAACAAAGACATAACTTGTGACTGAACTATCATAGTACAATGCACCATTTGGTAAAAGAACAATGTAGTGGCGAGTGTTTCCCAAAACTCGTAGTTGCTTTGTCGCCGATCCATCATGTGAACTACGTTAGCTATGACGCAAAACGTTCGGAATGATGCTCTAAACAGGGCGGAGCAGCAAGTTCTTTAGAGAAGAGCCAGATAATTTTTTGTGTGCAAATTATATTGTTTTAGACGCAGACGCATTTAAAAAAAAATCCAATTTTAGTTTTGATAAAAACATGCACTCGCTTTCCTTATTAATTGAAATATATGTAAATGGTACATTATTTCAAATTTTAAACATAAAAACCATTTAGCTAACACAAATCTCGTAAATAAATCATATAAATGGTTAATGGTTGTAATTTACAGTAGGCCATTTATTAAGGAAAACAAATCTTTTTAATCTTATTTATGATCAATAATAATAATTATTAATAATAATTTTAATAATAATAATAATAATAATAATTGTCATTATTATTTATGTTTTAGTAAAGTTTACTGTGAACTACGAACTACAGCTCTAGTTGTAATACAAGTTTGCCGCGCAGTTTGCGAATGTTCATTGGAACAATGGATTTGGGAAAAGCCAAATCCACAAACTATGTTTGTAACGATGGAACTTGAGACCTTAGTTGGCGAAAGATGGTTTTTGAAAATGCACCCCAGATTAATGAGTACCGATTGAGTCATGAAATTATCAGCCAATATCGATCTTCTGCCGATCGATCAGAGCATCCCTAGTTGAAATATAAATTTATATAATCTAGTTTCAAATTAACAACAATATAGATACGTGTATATCTATATTTATTATTATATTTATATATATTTATTTTATATTTATTAATATATTTATTATTTATATATATACTTATGTATACTTATATATTATATTGGTTGGTGATTAATTATATACTCCATATCTGTCCAAATTAGACTCAATTTAGACTAGTTAGGTCAATTTTAGACAGTAAGAGACTCTTGTAGGCTCTTGTGGACTCAATTGGACTCCTTGAAGATGCGGTTTGACTGCAGAACAACCAACACCTCTTATAGAATTCTGCAAGTAACGAGTCTCCTGGGTTTTTATATTTCCAACAAATCCTAACGATCTAATCCAGTGCTTCTCAACCATGTTTCTGCAGGACAACTAGCACTGCATGTTTTGGATGTCTCCTTAGTCTGTCACACCCATTACAGCTCTTTCAGTCTCTGCTAATGAGCTGATGATCTGAATCAGGTGGGTTTGGTTAGGGAGACATGGAAAATGTTCAGAGCTGGTGGTCCTCCAGGAACGCGGTTAAGAAACATTGGTCTAATCCATTTCAGATATCTACGCTAAGCTACGCTAAAATTGCCCCATTAGACTTGGAGATCGGCTCAGCTGTAATCTTAGTGGAGATGTAAAATGAGCCTGTTTCTGAATGAGGAGTATTCCATTAAGAGTTAATCAACAAAACCTGTCAAACCAATCTTTACACTTATCTTTTCAATTGATCAGAGATTGATTGCATTCGCTCTTTCTTTTAGAGTTACATCCAGAACTTCCGTGACAGACGTGCCGACAGAAGGGGATACTCTCATGGGCGCTTGATTGGCGGCTCACACGTTGTCGATTTGGACTATGACTACGGCTCCCAAGTGCCCCTAACAGCCCACACAGGCCCTGTGGTGAGAGGTTGACCTCATATCTTCTCCTCAACAGGAACTGCACTGCACGAACCATTCCGAGAACTTTTGCTGCCGGATGAAATCTAGAGCATGTGGTTATCTTACAGTCATCCAAATGGCTGACAGGACTATCATACCCAGATCGATTTGCTGTACTGTCATGATTTCTTTCGTCTTTATTACAGAGAAGTTGCAGCTAATGGATCGTTTGCCTAAAAAACAACGCGTAACCACAGTAGGACTCTCGCATTCAACTCCACTTTATATGGCTGAAGATGGTTGTGGTATGTTTGCCTGCAACTTTCCCTTAATTAGGCTGCCGTTTCAATCCGTCCGAGAAGAGCGGTCTCATTATAGCAGCGGCCGATTTAAAGAAAATCCATTATGTTCCATCTGAACGCGGGACCAAATATGGCCTTGGCTTTTAAGGGACTAAAGTGTCATAAAGCATGCACGGCTTCTGCTAGACAGACTCTTCGTATATCCAGTTTACAGATTTAGACTTCAATCCTCCTGTTGGTTTCTGACCTTTTAAAGATGTTTTCGATAACATTTATGTTTACAGCACAGGCAGGGAAGTGTGTGTGGTTTTTTGTAACTGTTTCAAAAGGCTTTATCTGCTCTGTGTCAGGGCCTACACAAAATCTGTCAAACCGTGTTCGGTGAACTCAGTCTCTGTTTAATCTGAGCCCATTGCACAAGCATACAGTATGATGATTTGTGCATCTGTTAGCCAATGTATGTGGGGAAAGTGCCACCATTGCATTTTTGCTGTAGATATACATGTTTTTCAGCCTGCTTTTATGTGTTCGGTTACACTACAGATTAAAAGTTTGGAATAGTTATGATTAAAGCTGTATATAGTTTACTTGATTTGAAATACAGTAACATTGTGCATCTTCTTTTTTTTACAATTTAATATATTTTTAAACAATTATTTCTTTGATGCCAAAGTATTCGAAACTTTGGGAAAAGATTACATATAGCTATATAAATATTAGGGGTACGTAACTGATCCCAACCCACAGTTCGGAACGCACATGACCCACAGATTAATAACAAAGATATGCGGTACAGGCGAATTGGGTTGGCTAAATTGTCCGTAGTGTATGAGTGTGAGTGTGTATGGATGTTTCCCAGAGATGGGTTGCAGCTGGAAGGGCATCCGTTGCATAAAACACATGCTGGATAAGTTGGCAATTTATTTCGCTGTAGCAACCCCAGATTAATAAAGTTACTAAGCCGAAAAGACAATGAATGTATGTTCAACTTCATTTGTTTGTTTAAATTCAGCCCAAATAAATTGTTTACAACCACTTACCTTAAAAAAAGTGTAGTAAATCCAAGGAATCATCTTTGAATAGTTTTTTTTCCAGTCTAGTAGTTGCATGACAAAACTAATCAAAAGCTATCAGCATATTTAGAAATGTCATAATAATCTTTGTTTACAAACCCCAAAACTTGAAATACTTTCAGGCCCTGGTGCCAACGTTTCATAATGCTGCGTAAGTGGCCTCTTCAAGTAAATCATTCTATGATAAAATTCTAAATGAAACCCCCTTCTTAAAATGGATGACTTGGGAAATGTAGGAATCTAAAACGAGTCTTGTGATTTGGCCAAATTGTTGTCAATTAATATAATTTTTTTGTATAGGCCACCATCTGCTGATATGAAGAGCTCAGATGCAAAAAGTCAGATGCAAAAAGCCTCTAAGTGCTGCTGAAATTTCCATCAAAAATGAGCATTTTTCTCAGACTCCTATGCTTATGTTGAGTTTTCATTTGTAAGACCTTTAAAAGAGTGCATTCTTTGCCATAAACTTAAAATAGCCGAACCTACAAACAGGAGCCTGATAAAACTGCTCATTTTTTAAAGGAAACTTTATTCGGCTTTTAGGGGTTTTTGCATCTGTATTCTTCAAATGAGTTTTTATAAAACAAATTGATAAAATTCTAAAGCAACGTGATCACAAAAGATATGCCAATCATCTTCTTCTTTGGCCTTAGTCCAGTATGGTTACGGGGTCGGCGGTTTGGAACAAGTCCTCCATTTAGACTTGTCCATATGATAACGACTTTATTACACATTCCGGCCGGCCTGTCACCCTCATACACTCATACACTACGGACAATTTAGCCTACCCAATTCACCTGCAGCATGTCTTTGGACTGTGGGGGAAAACCGGAGCACCCGGAGGAAACCCACGCGAACGCAGGGAGAACATGCAAACTCCTCACAGAAATGCCAACTGAGCCGAGGTTTTAACCAGCAACCCAGCGATCTTCTTGCTGTGAGGCGACAGCACTACTCACTGCGCCACTGCTTCGCCCCCTCAAGATATGCTAATTATGGGGGATTTTAATATAAACTGGGAGAATAAATCAGAAAAAAAACTGTATCCAATTAGTTAAAGGTCCAACAAGAGTAACTAGTTCCCCACATATGCAAATAGATTTGATGTTTACAAATAGACCAGGATCAATAACCGTTGTCCCTGTTAAATAAAATTTATTTCAAGTTCCAAACCATTCACAAGTCATAAGTATAATTCTGTAGCTATTATTAAATGTATTATTTTTTTAAATCTTTTGTCTGCCTGGTCTGAATGTGATCACATTTTTTTTTGGTGAACATCAAACTGGTATTTAAAGTAAGTAATTTGTAAATGTAGGGAAAAAGCTATACATTGCAGGCAGCATAGATAATAAGAAACTATGTCAGGATGATTTCAGAAGTATTGTGTGACACTGCTAAATGCTAATGCTAAATTTCATCTTTACAATAAAAAATTAATTACATTTAAAAATAATAATACACATGTATTACAGATTTTACTGTATTTTTAATCAAATGAATGCAGAGTTTTAAAATAAATAAACCCATGAAAGCTTCTTAATTATTCCAAACTTTTGATTTTCATTCAAGACTTATATATAGAAGTAAGCAGGGACTTTTCAGGTGACTCCCAGCTAAATCTCAGGAGCCGAGGCACTGAGAGGAGCCCTAGCGATGTAACTGTGAACACTGAAGGCTTTCGTGTGGATGATTTTAAAGTGTCCTTGCCTCCTCTGAGAGAGTTTTTGAAAGCGATTAAAGAAGGATTTCTGAGATTTACAATGGTGGGCATCTCACAGAAAAAAAGATGCGTATAAAAAGGAAAGTGACGGGAGGGAGATACAGACCGAGTATGTGTGTGTGTACATGCAGAAATAGAGAGAAAAGGAGTGTTTTGTGTGGTGTGTGAAAGCGTCTGTCGTCCTGCGAGTGTGGCTGCAAGGTTAATCTTAAAGGAGCTCTCCATTTGGAAAACGGAGTTGAGTTTTACCTTTGTTGAATCCATTTAGCCATCTCTGGTTCTGACAGGAGCACATTAGCTTAGCTTAGCTTAGCATAGATCACTGAATTAGATTAGACTATTAGCATCTTGCTCGAAAATTAACTAAATAATTCAATCTTTTCTTCTATTTAAAGCTTCACTCTTTTGTATTTGCTAAGTCTGATAATTAAAGTTGCTCTTTTTAGACTGATATAGGTAGGAACTATACTAATTCCGGCGTAATAATCAAGGATTTTTGCTGCTGTACCATGCCTGCAGCAGGGGCAATGATATTTTGCAGATTCTAACAGGTTGTCCAAGTGTAGATTTTGGTGCAGGGGACTATTTTTAGGCTGCATAGTATCACTACGCCTGCTCCAGCCATGGTAAGGCATCAAAGTTCCTTGATTATTACGCCAGAATGAGAGTATAGTTCCTAGACATACCAAGCACTTAGTACATGATGTAACTACAGATACAGTTGAAGTCAGAATTATTAGCCACCCTGTTTATTTTTTTCCTCAATTTCTGTTTAACGGAGAGATTTATTTAACACATTTCTAAACATAATAGTTTTAATAACTCATCTCTAATAACTGATTTAGTTTATCTTTGCCATGATGACAGTAAATCATATTTGACTAGATATTTTTCAAGACACTTCTATACAGCTTAATGTGACATTTAAAGGCTTAACTAGGTTAATTATGTTAACTAGGCAGGTTAGGGTAATTAGGCAAGTTATTGTATAATGATGGTTTGTTCTGTAGAATATCGAAAACAAAACTAGCTTGAAGGGGCTAATAATTTTGTTCTTAAAATGGCTTTTTAAAAATTAAAAACTGCTTTTATTCTAGCCCAAATAAAACAAATAAGACTTTCTCCAGAAGAAAAAATATTATCAGACATACTGTGAAAATTTCCTTGCTCTGTTAAACATCATTTGGGAAATATTTAAAAATGTAAATATTCAACTTCAAGACTTCAACTTTAAGTCAAGCTTTAAATAGGAAAATACTATGAAAACTCTTGTTGTTGTTTTTTGAGTTAGATGCTAATGGTCTAATCTGATTCAATGGTTTATGCTAAGCTAAGCTAAAAATGCTCCCGCCTGACCTGGAGATCAGCTGAATGGATTCAAAAACGGTAAAACTAAACTGTTTAATTCTGGGGGAGCTGTAAAATGAGCCTATTTCCCCCCAAAAAAGTGGAGTGTTCCTTTAATTTCTGATTTACTTTCCTATTTGGATGCAGGGTGATTTCACAGCCAGTTTCCCCTCTGTGTTTATCAGGAGAAATGATTGAGTCCAAGTCTAATCTTTTTCCTCACTCTGAAGTAGTGAAAGGGCTCAAAGGCTTAAATTCCTCTCCGTTTACCGTGTCTTTTAAAGTGACCGCTTGGCTCTCTTGTAAAAATATTGTACATTGTCCAAATGTACATATGCGTTTCTGTGTTATTGCTAGTGCTTTGACTTAATTTTCTACATGTTATTTCTTTCTAATCAGTGGTTACATCTGTGTGCTGAAGAACTGTCTTTTTGAATTGTCCCATTGATAGTCATTTGTAATTATAATTTATTTCTAATTTATTAGATGAAGACTTCAGGTGGAGCTCAGTTTGTTGTTAAATCGATGTGGACCATTATTATGATCATTATTATTATTATTATTATTATTATTATTGAGCATGTATTTGTACAGTACTGATAACCATAAATGTTGTGCTCCTGAAGTCAAGTGAATGTGTGTATGTGTCCATTTTCTTTCTCAACACACTGCTGTTTATTTAAAAGAAGCTGATGGTGAAGAACGTGGCGGTGGATTTCTTCAAGGCACGGGGTGAAACATTAAATTGTGTGGACCAGTTACTGGCGGGTATGTGCCAGCAATGAAGACAAAGCATGCATGAGCGGCTCTGTGATGCACAGCATCATTTTCCATTTTAAAAATAAATGTGCATATCCCTGCAGGGGTAGGATTCATTTACACTAAGGAAAATGAAAAATTGCATTCAAATGGATTACCATTGTCGAATTATTTTACTCTCAAATTGATGGAAAAGATTTCAGATGTGCTTTCAGCTGCGTGATTTTATTTGAATTATTGGAGATTTTGAGGTCTCGACCAGTGATGTGCTAGTTACTGAAAAATAGTAACTAGAGTTTAAAGCTTCACTCTTGTATTTGTTAAGTCTGACAATCAAAGTTGCTCTTTTTAGACTGATATGGGTAGGAACTATTCTGTTTCCGGCGTAATAATCAAGGATTTTTGCTGCTGTACCATGCCTGCTGCAGGGGAATTGATATTATGCAGATTCTAACAGGTTGTCCAAGTGTAGATTTTGGTGCAGGGGACTATTTTCAGGCTGCATAATATCATTACGCCTGCTCCAGCCATGGTAAGGCATCAAAGTACCTTGATTTTTACGCCAGTACCCAACATCAGGTCAATGTCCAATGTCGAACAGACGTTGCATTTTGGTAACTGTCCAACGCAACCCAAAAACATCGAAATATGATCGTCTAATGGTTACAGCTTGAAGTTGTGTGGATGTTACCACTATGACGTCTATCAGATGTTGGATTTTGGTTGCCAAACCTGGCAAATAAATGTCAGTATTTGACGTCAAAATGACGGGTTAAGATGTTGGCTCGACGTTGGATTTCAGTCACTTTCCAATACAACCTAAAATCAACGTCATTTCACATTTTTATTGGACATCAAAACAACATTGTCCTTAGATGCTGGAGACCTCAATCTAACCTAATATTAATGTCCAACGCAATCTCAAGGCAATTCATAACTTTTTGCTTTAGTGGCTAATTCATATGTATGATCTAA